AACCTCTGGTGTCCACCAGCGGGTACGGGGGTTGCCACCACGACTGGCACCGGCCACCTTACGACCACAGCTAGCAACAGCCGCCTCGACAATCGCAGAGTGGAACAAGGCCCACTCGGACTCAATGTCCCCCACTGCTCTCGGGACGTGGTCAAAGCTCTGCCGGAGGTGGGAGTTGAAGACCGTCTTGACAGGTTCTTCTGCCAGGAGTTCCCAGCAGACCCTCACTATGCGTTTGGGTCTGCCAGGTCTACGCGGCATGTTCCCTTGCCATCTGATCCAACTCACCACCAGGTGGTGATCAGTTGACAGCTCCGCCCCTCTCTTCACTCGGGTGTCCAAAACATACGGCCGCAGGTCAGATGATACGACTACAAAATCTATCATCGACCTGTGACCTAGGCTGCCCTGGTACCAAGTGTACCGGTGGGCATCCTTATGTTCGAACATGGTGTTCGTTATGGCCAAACTGCGGCTTGCACAGAAGTCCAATAACAAAACACTGCTCGAGTTCTGATCAGGTGGGCCGTTCCTCCCAATCACACCCCTCCAGGTCAAGCTGTCATTGCCCACGTGAGCATTGAAGTCCCCCAGCAGGACAATGGAGTCCCCTGATGGAGCACTATCTAGCACTCGTCCCAGGGACTCCAAAAAGGGTGGGTACTCTGAACTGATATTTGGCCCATAAGCACAAACAACAGTCAGGACCCGTTCCCCGACCCGAAGGCGCAAGGAAGCTACCCTCTTGTCCCCCGGGGTAAACCCCAACACACAGGCAGAGAGTCTCGGGGCTAACAAAAAGCCAACCCCAGCCCTCCGCCTCTCACCCGGAGCAACTCCAGCAAAGTAGAGTGTCCAACCCCTCTCCAGGTCTCGGGTTCCAGAGCCAATGCAATGTGTCGAGGTGAGTCCGACTATATCTAGCCGGTACCGCTCAACCTCTGCCACAAGCTCCGGCTCCTTCCCCGCCAGCGAGGTGACGTTCCATGTCCCAAAAACTAGTTTTCTTGTCCGGGGATTGGACCGCCAAGGCTCCCGCCTTGGTCTGCCACCCGATTCGAATTGCACCGGACCCTTCATGTTCCTCCTGCGGGTGGTGGGTCCACAGTTGGACGAGCCCATGTATCCGGTTCGGGCTGGGCCCGGCTGGGCCCCATGGGCGAAAGCCCGGCCACCAGGCGCTCGCTCACGGGCCCCAACCCCAGGCCTGGCTCCAGGGTGGGACCCCGGTAACCCTCCGGGCCGGGTACTCCGACTCTTCGTTTTAACCGCCATGAAAGTTTTGGAGTATAAAGTGAAAAAGCACTTGGACGAATCATAACGCGAGCACAGCTCTGACGGCATCCATGTTGTGCAATCCATGCATTCTCACACCCGAAGCGGCTAAAAATGACAAAGGGTGACCAAGCGTTTGTTTCCGGTGCGTTGGGGCTCCCAACGTGTCGTGAGGAAATGCACTGTGCCAGAGCGTCGCTTTCCGATGCCCGCGGTAAAACTGACATTTTATTGACATTCAACCTCTAACTTCTAGCGACTTAACCTTCGCCGCACCCCCATCGTAACCTTGACCCAGTTTCTCGTTCCAAATCTCCCGTTAACCGCGCTTGAGAGGAACGACACGACTAGAAACAAAGTTTTGCATGTGCAAGTGAGTTAAGGTTAGTTTGGGGGAGAGGGGAAGGTTAAATAGGAAGAGGGTAAAGGTCACAATTTGGTAAAATCTTAGTTTTACCGAGGGCGTCGGAAAGCATTGCTCTGGTACAGCGTACGTCATTAAAGCCGACAGTCACTGAAGACGAGCACGATGTAAAGGTGTAAAAGCAGTAGCGTTAACGGGTCTTTATTACACTCTGACCCAAAGTACAAAAAGGAGGGCCCCATCATTTTTGCCTTGCTATTTTGTAACTACAGCTTCCATTGTTGCTAATGTTGCTACCGCTAACTCTCATTGTAGACTCGTCACTAGTTTTTCACTACACTCCCTTGGTTTATTTTCATTGGTTGATTGCAGAAGCTGTAAATTTTCTGACCCTACTTGACTATGAGAGGCTGGATTTGGTTGTGAGTGCTCACACATTGGTGAAATTACATCTCCGCTTTTGACCCATCCCCATGGGGAGCGGTGAGCTGCAGCAAAGCTGAGCGTGAAGCGGGCAGGCATTGGGTCCCATTTTTAAGGTCTTTGGTACGACCCGACCAGGATTTGAACCCCGAGCTCACCGCCCCCAGAATGGACACTCCATCACTAGGCCACTGAGACGGTTATGAAGTAAACATTACAATTCAACTTATATATCAGTGCATTGAGGTCAATTAATTGTTCCAATTAGCCAAGGACACCCAGCCGACTGCATAGAGGTGCCAGAGACATTGCAATAATCGCTCATACTAAGCAAGCATGTAGCGACAGTGGAGAGGAAAACTCCCCAAAACAACAGCATTTTAGCACTATTAAGGGAAGCTGAAAGCCTTGGGATGAGACGTCATGGGCCTGGGATGAGATTATCATTGATGGACCCTCCCCCCCAAAAAATACAGTATTTTTACTTTTTACTTTCCCCCCCCCCCCCCCAATTAGCGGGCCTGGATCTACGACAAGATGGTAATGAAAATAGAGAAAATAAACTTAAATGCAAGCTTTTTTCTAATCAGATCATAATGACTAGAAGTATAACAAAACACCCATCTACGTCGATTATTTGGTCATCAAGACAAAATGCAAAAATTAATAGAATCCCGTGGCGGGGCGAGCAGTGAGAATAAAAGGTAATGGAGAAAATCACTTGTAACATCGTTTCATATCGATCACTGGGTTCTAAATCAAAATCGCAAACATCAAATCCCAATCCACAATGTTGATATACTATTGTGTTTTGATTAATTTCATTATTTACCCTTTCTAATGTCTCAGTCAGTGGAGTGATGAGCTGCTGTAGCATTCAAAGCTCCAAGGTTTCCTAAAGCATCAAAATGTACAAACACTTAAAAGATTTAGGACTTTATTACTTTCCACATCAACCATCAGAAGAAGTTAAAGACAGAAGAGTTAAACAACCACACAAGAGGAACATTTGGTGTGTGCATTTTGGGACTGGGCTTGCCTGGCAGCTCGCTCGAGATGAAGACCAACCAAAGTTTGAGGAAACATACCAAAGTCCTTAGCTCAGCCCGAGAAAAGAAGACTTACAATATGTCAGCAGTGTTATTTTTACAGGGTCATATTAGCAAACCAAGTGGTTCTGCATCTGCTCCACAAGGGCATTCCTCCGCTGCTGACCCTGAACAAACCCACAAGCTCCAGAACTGCCTTCTTGCATCAGCGTGTTACAAGCCTCTGATTTCCAAAGTAGTGCTTACCCCCGCTGTGGCTCACCAGGCATTTCACTTGCAACGATAAATACTCACACGCATTAAACAGAACGGAGCCCAGTGAGTCGGAGTGTGGACATGTGACATGTAAATACGGACCGTGTTTGCCTTTTCAAACACGTTTGTGGTTGAATGGACCTGACGGAAGGCTGAAACGCTCTCAGGACCCAGACTGATAAACCAGCCTGTGACATAATGTGGAAACACTGATCTCATTCAGATGGATCATCGCTCACAAAACATCAAGCATGCCAGGCACATCTTACACATACAAGACAGATTCTTTGAGGTTGGAAGCAGATAGAGGCTTTTAGTGGAACATCACTTTTGTCTCAAAGAGGTGGAGGTCTGGGTGAGATTAGCGGACTGCGCCGCTGTGGTTTTGCCTTTGTCTTTACTTGTACCGCAATATCATCTCAGGAAGTGGAAAGCGTTTTCTCCCAGGGTAAAGCGGTGACCCCCTGGTCATCTTTTGTGTTTCTGTACTTTCTTAGGAGACAAAAACAACATGTGTAGATATGCCTTCCTTTCATCTTAGAGTAATCCGAGTACTTGTGGGGTTTGTGATTCCTCGAGAATCTGTAGATTGTTTTCTGTTTGAGAGTTTGCACGATTGACCAAAAGTTCTTATGCTTTTTTTCAAGGTCTGTTGGTTTGAAAATGCATCAAAACAGAGACACCACATGAGTTAAATGCATTAAAAAAACCTGTAGAACCCAAAAAAATTTGCAACAGGACTTACGCATGGATTTAGAACTGAAATTGCGTAACTTTAAGAAAAACTTTAGGCCTAAACTAAAAATTTCCAATGTGATAAATGAATTGAAAACACAAAAAATCTTTGCTACAATTAAGGCACTAAACCCAGTAACACAAGGTAATATATGGGCTGCATGGTGGCGAAGTGGTTAGCACTGTTGCCTCGCAGCACGAAGGTTGCAGGTTAGAAACTCGGCTGCAGCCTTTCTGCGTGGAGTTGCGTGTTCTCCCCATGCATGTGTGGGTTTCCTCCGGGTACTCCGGTTTCCCCCACAGATCACAACATGCCCTATAGGTTATAAATTGTAAGTCGCTTTGGATAAAAGCATCTGCTAAATAAATAAACATAATATGAGGAAAGGCCAACCAGTCTGGGGATCATTTGCATTTCTCTGATACTTGTTCTATACACATTATTCAGAAGCTCCCCCCCATATTACTGTATGCACTCATTCTAAAACCAATGAGTGCTATTTAAAATGTTTTTTATTTATTTTTAAATACAAAGTTTTCTGTTGACTTTCAAAATAATTACCTAGTTTTATTTCATAAACTCCACGCAGAAAATTTTATTTTCTTAATAACATCAAACGTTAATCCTTTACGAAAGTACCTGATGCTTCTGTAATTTATGTGATTAACTTGATGCAAATCCAACTACAAACATATTTGAGCGACATTGCCCTCTAGTGGTTTTATGAGAAATCGCATTGCACTTACAAAATGTATTTAAATCACAGAAAATATTTATTTAAAAATTCGACTTCTTAAAGTAGTAGTATGGCGTTTATGTACAAACAATTTATTAGTTCAACTTTTTTACACATTTCATTTATTTAGACGTTGCCAATCTGCGACCCGGAAAAAGAAAATACGTTGTGACGTAGGCAGACACCCATGTGTTCTCATGGAAGCACCGGAAGCTAATTGCAGTTACAGTGAACTGTGTGTTTTATGTCAGAAAACCTTCACATTTACCTGAGTTGACTTGATTTTAGGGGAAATACATTTGAGGAGACGTTCAAACATGTCCTCGTTTAGGAAAGCGCTGAAGTCCCGACAGAGAAACCACCATGAAAGATCTCAGGTGAGCACTTTAGTGTTTTGCTAGTTAGCTGCTTTGCTAACAAGCAAACTGGCAACCTAATATTTAAGTTTAGACTTAAATTAATCACGACTGACTGTGTTTTTAATCATATTACACTTTAATTAGACATAATATTACATTTTAAAAAGCGTGTCAACTTTCGTGTTTTTTTCCAGCCTGGTTTCAGGAAAAATCTGGGATTGCTGGAGAAGAAGAAAGATTACAAACTCCGAGCAGAGTGAGTTGAACAGTTTTCTGTTTAAATTTCATTTCAAAGTGGTTTTGCCAACCGTGGCTTAATAAAGCTGACATAAACTCTGTTATAACAGTGACTATCACAAGAAACAAAACACCCTTGCAGCCCTGAGGAAAAAAGCTCTGGATAAAAACCCGGATGAGTTTTACTTCAAGATGATCAGCTCCAAACTGGAGGTAAAAAAATAATTTAAGGATCACTTTCATGTGAAGCCATTCTTTGAACGTGTCATGTGATCGACATTGTCTTTGGGATGTTGACAGGATGGAGTTCACATGATAAAGAAAGCCGAGGTGGAGGTGACGGAGGAGCAGAAGAAAGTGATGAGAACGCAGGATATCAAATATGTGGAGATGAAAAGAGTTGCAGAGGCGAAGGTGGGATGACAATGATTAACGTGTACTGTGCAGTCAATGGGGTTTACGCACAATCAGTGAAATAATTACTAGAACAGAATATTAATTTATCTTCCTAACTACCATTTATAGTTTCAATACTTCACAAAGTATTACATTGATTTTGTTTGATAAATCATTATTCAGAAATCGGTACTCTAAAACAAAACCTTTTGTGTAATAATCAGATCTACTTGTAGCTGAAAATCCAGCAAAGATGTACTAAAACATCATTTTTAACATTACTTTCTAAAATCTTACACAAAATTGACATCTCTCTTAAATTGTCTCGATTAAATAAAGTATTTAACATCATCGGTGTCAAAATGACTGAGGGTTTTTAGGTGTGAGAGGATATTTCTGATATCATTTGGTATTTTTGATGGGCCCTCAACTTGTATGTTTAAGATTTAGGACACTGAAAAAAATATTTTTATGATAATTTCTGATTATAATCCATCACTATGAGTTTACATGCAGGCCAAACTTGAAAATAGTCTCCTACACCTATCTCCTGCATTAGCTTCTGATAGAAAATAGATGGTGAAACTCTAGGATTTGATAAGCCTGCCAGAACCACGTCTAGCTGTCGCTTGGACTCACCCATACTAACTCGCTTTGGGGAAGGCTGTTGTTTTAGTGTCCAGAATCAGCAGGGAACGTCTCGACTAGTGGAAGCTAACCTTTTAACATTAGCAACTCCACCACACTGCAGAAGCTAGTTCGAGCTTGTGTTATTTGTGGAGATAAAACATCAACGTTGCAGAGCAAGGGTTAGTGGCACAGTCGCGTTGCTATTATCCAATCTGGGGCAAGATGTCAAAAAAATCAGGGAATAAGTCTCCAAATCCTGCCGTGCTAATTTCCTATTTGATGTGGCAGATTGTCTGTGCTGATGCAGGCCTTTCTGGGCTTTTTTTCCCCTTGAGTACGGCTTGCAAGGCCCTCATTTCTACAAGAGACCACTGCAAATGTATTGTTTAAAACATTTCTCACACCTTTAAAGCAATAAGTTTCCACGACTCTACCTCCTAGTGGATTTACAACAGTTGTAATCGAGTCCTGCTGCTGCCTGCTGTAGTAACTAACTACAAATACTAACAAGAACAAACTAAACTCATAACCTGAATGTTTGTACTTTCAGAAAATTGAACGGATGAAAGGAGCGCTCCATCTTCTGGATGCTGAGAGCAAGCAAAAGAACAAACACACTTTTTTTGTGAATTCCAAGAAGGAAGGTAAAAAAATAACATTGCAAATGAGTTCAAAGTTAGCATAATGATAATAATGAAACATTCTCTGACTTTCTGTGGTTTTGTGTTCTCAGTAAAAATATTTGACCTGGCTAGCCATCTGAACACGGCTCCAGAGCTGCTGGACAGAGTTTACAACCGACCGACTCTGCACACGCTGGAGACCAAGAGCATCCAGGGAGCTGTGGACACTCCAACCCAAGACGTCAGTAGTTTTTAATCTATAATCATCTCACCTTTCTTTTGTTGCAGTAAGTTCAAGTCAATGATGAAACTATAACGTGTTTTTCTGTTTTGACAGAAAATGGCCAGACAAAGGAAGCATCAGTATAAGATGCTGTCTCAGAGGGTTGACAGAGAAAAGAAACTGTTTGTCATCAGCCAGAAAATTCAGACTCGTAAGGATCTACAGGTGAGTATTTTTAAATAAGTACTAAAATCAAAAGCTTCTGATGAGTATTGTTAATATTTTACATTCCTTCTTCTTTCAGGATAAAACTAAGAAAGTTAAAGTAAAAAAAGAGACGGAAAATTCTGCAGCTATCTACAAATTCGAGGCCAAGAGGAAGCGCTAACTAAGCCTGAGGGGACAAAATCTTAAAATGTGATCACTTCAACAATAATGGACTTGGAAGAACATTTCCTCCCAGCCAAGACAAAAGAAAACGTTTTCCTCATTTTTGTTAAAGCTGCAGACTAATGTATGCATTTATGTTAGTTTCATTTCAAATAAACAAGTAAATAGATTTGGTTTCATGATCTTTGCTTTATTCTAATTCAAAGCTGCCATTTTCAGATTTTTTTTGAATGACTCCTTCATAAAGATTGTTTCTATGGTCAATTGACACTTTAACTATATATTGTCATTTTTCCTACCACCACTGGGGGGCATCAGTGTTCTTTAACCAGAAAGGAAATCGTTCTAAAAAGGTTTCTCGTAGCAAACGCTGTTGACTAACTTGGGCCCCATGATTGAAGCTTAAGGTTTAAATCGAAGATATTAAAGTTTGAATAAGTTGTTTAATGTTTCATCGTGATCAGTCACTGATTCAGGGTTGTGGGTTGAACTACAAATGCACATTGTAACTGATTTGCCCATTTTTAACAAATATATGTTTTTCTGTCTTGCTTATTCCACAGTGAACTCATAGGTTTTACCTGTGGCATATTTAGGTTTTCATTTGCCTTATACGTTCCTGTAGGTTCTCAGTCATCCAGTGCACGCTAGAAATTTCTTGTTTTCTTTGAAAACATTTTGCGTCTTTGGTTCTTGTTGAAATACAGCACTGTGTAAATGCCTTGAGCAACATTTTCAGTTTATATTATTTTAAAGGAGCAATATTTAAGAATCCTACAATGAAATGATCATAAAACAGTCTAACGTCTCATTCGTGGTGGAAGGTTTCATTGAAACGGGCCTCCCTCTCGGCCAGCTTGGGGTTTGTTTGTTTTTCTGTCAATAAAAAGAGAAGAAGGACGTAGTTATGTTTAAAATCAGCGAGTTAGTGTGGTTGCCATGTTGTTACCGCCCCAGCACCGTCATTTGTAATTTAACAATCAGGAGACAAAAAGCATCAGCGCTGAAGCCAGTAAACAGGAGCGACCCAGAAGTTATTTATTGTACCCTTAAGAAGCCACAACAGCCAGGAGTGTGTATGTGGGGGTGGAAGAGATTCTTCACAGTGAAATATTGGAGGTGTGGTGTGTGAGCGTGTGAAGAAGGTCAGATGCATGGGTTAGCAGCCCTGTGAAGCAGACTCGAGGCTAATGTTGAGCTAACGATGAATTTGAAGCAAATAGCCGCAAAATAAGGGTGTGACCAAATCCACTGGAAGGATGCTTGTAAGAGCGCATTTTGAGGTCGATGACGTCACAGCACAGCGACGAGTACTGTCCGAGTTCCAAGAATACTCATTCTCGCGTCCTCAAATACGTCCTCGCTCCGCCCACATTTCAAGGACGAGTCTGTTGTATTCTCACAGAACAAGGCTATCCCAGCATGCTTTGTGCGCCGGCTGTGGATTTTCAACAGGAAGAGAAAATGGGGAGAGCTACGAAGATTTAAACATAAGTTTGTTAAAAACTAGCAGTAGAAAACTAAAAAGCTTAAAGCGGTTCTGTTTATAGACGCTTTTTGTTTGTATATTTGTTTATTAAATTACATTTTAGGCAGAAATCAGCCAGAACGAGTTTGTATCGCGGGTCCCGGTTATTCCTGTGTGTGTGTGTGTGTGTGTGTGTGTGTGTGTGTGTGTGTGTGTGGCAAATTAAACTTGTCGTTACTTTTAGGGACAACAATGCTTTTATTAAGCTTAGAGGTGAAGACTGAAGCTGTACAGTAGTTCTTCTGTGTTCTGCATTGAAAAGCAGTTTCACATTCAGACAGTTTACGTTTTAAAGAACAATTAAAATAGTGTTTGTTTTTCTTTGGCAAATTAGGCTTCTTATCATTTGTTTTAAGGACAACAGAGCAAATAAGCTTTTTTATTAAGCTTAGAGGTGAAGAGTGAAACTGTCTACACATAACCACATAAGTTCTTCTGTGTTCTGCAGTGAAAAGTAGTTTTACATTCAGGGATTTACACAGCTGACACGTTTTAATGAAGTAAAAATTGTTTGTGTGAAGAATATAAATTTTATCTTCTCATGAGGATGAATGTAAAAAATGTGTTTATTGTCTTTTTGTCACCTGTGGTCTCTGATTTCTCTGTTTAGGTTTGCAGGTGTCCAGGGTCAGGAGAGGCTTTGCCTGGTGGTCCTCCTGGGAGAGAGGCCTTCTACTGTCGTCATGTTAATGTTATTTAGCTGTTTGATATTTAAACACATTTATTAAAGCAAATACTAACTGATAACTCTTTTGATCATTCATTTTATCACCAGTTTTATTAATTACAGATGTTTTTGTACATGTTACATGAACAGAAAATGAAAAGATGGTAAGGAGACAAGATTGTTTATAATACGTTACAATTTTTTACAGATCAAAACCAGTATGGACCAGTTATGTACAGTTAATACGTTACAATTTTTTACAGATCAAAACCAGTATGGACCAGTTATGTACAGTTAAAGCAGGATTAACCTGAGTGACTCTTCCTGGATCATTTATTTAAACTGAGTGAGCAGGAAGTCTTTAACAGTGCAGCTGGATCTGCTGCAGGAGGATCCAGACGTGGATGGAGGGCTGGAGCAGACCCGTGGCTGGACGTTTCTGGTCAGAGGAACATCATACACGACGGTCTGCAGAGAGAGCTTTGGGACGCTTCCTCTCACTGTCCACTCCATCGTCCATCTGCAGGGCTGGCTCAGACGACAGCTGTTACATCTCTATGATGTATTCAGAAATATGAAATGAGGAGATGGTTTATGGATCCACTGGTACAACAATTGTGACTCTTCAGCAAATAAAACCACAGTGTTGTTTTTAATAGAGGTTCCTACATAAATGACTTGTCTGTTAACAGTAGTGGTGGTTTGCTGGTGCCTTCTCCAGGACAGAGCACCACTGACCTCCTCCACACACACCTTCCTCAGGCTCATCCTCCAGACCCACAACTTCACCAGCACAGAGGCAGATGTGCAGCACAGTGCATGCTGACCTGTAATAGATTAAAAAATAGTTTTTTTTAATTGAAAAATATTAAACAAACATATAACCTGCAGTACACTGGTTCAGTTCAGTTTAAAGAAAAGCAGCAGGGAATAGTTTAATAAAAACTATGGAGAATTTACATTTTAAAGACAGATCTAATCATTATTACGCTTAAGTTGAATAAACAAATTAACTTTGAAAACACTTCAATGCTATTTTATTAAAAAGCCAGTTTTTTAAAAACATTTTACCCCCATTTGATGCAAAATAAGAAGTTCTAAGGTCCAATTTACATTAAAAAACATCTGACTGTTTTCAACACTTATAATGCATTTGGTTTATATTAATTACCTACGTGATAATACTCTGTAGTAATGTGTTGTGTACATTTAACCAGTTCATTCTGCAGCTTAAAACACACACGAAACGATCCAAAGTTAACATGTAAGTCCTGAAAGTTTCTAAAATAAACAAAATTACAAACGCTGCTGATGGACGTGAAGCTGCTGTAGCTCCTTATTATTCCTGCTCGATTTTCGCTAGCTTTAGCATTTTTCCTTTGCGTGTAGCTGCCGCCGCGGATGTGACAGGACCTACGGGCCACCGTAGAGGTGAAGGCTACTGTCTGAATTCAGAGCCGCTGGGTTCCGGTCTTAGCGGTCTGGCAAGGACCCGGCCTTGCTAGACCGGCGAGGACCCGGACTCATAAGCATCCTGCCCGTGGATTGGGACACACCCAATGTCTCTCAAGCTACTTTTTCAATTACCAACAACTTAATATAACAATGAAATATATGTGTGATATGAATGATGGGTCAGTTTGACGTTCTTTAATGAGTTGTTATAGTAAAAAACTATAACAGCAAGCTAACAGCTAGATGACTAACTACCACACTTACTCTTATCCCGGAAACATATTACCATAATGAGTGGGTGCTCTCTACCGTAAAACACCTAAGACTGCTAATACCAGCTATGACAATGTATTTATTTACTTATCAAATTACTGTGTATGACTCTTTGCTTTTCATCTAGCATCTTCTGGTGCTGATCCAACCAGTAACATCCATGCAAGTCACAGAACTGCAGTGAGAAAGTTTTTTTTTTTTTTTTTTGCTTTGGAAAATGGCCTGGAGTAACCAAACTTGACCACAGAATGCCATTCTTACTTTATATTACACCTTCAGTCCAAGAAACCACAGGTTCTCTGCGGGGTTACCTCTCACAGCTTGTTCCACACTTATCTCAATAAGGTTGTATCTCCATTCGCCACCAACCTGTGGCGTGGAGCTGGCAGAAGATGTGTCCAAACAGCCGGTTGGAGTGACGTTGACTTGACTGATCGTTGTGGTGGCAGCAGCTTCATAAACAGGGCCGATCCATCAGCTTCAGCTGGGAGACACTGAAGGGAAAAGAAAGGAGAGAGCATCAGATGAGACAACCAACTTTCAACATAATGAGTTTGATCAGGAAAGGTGTCCATGTATCTGCTTTTTCTGTTCCTTTGTTGTTTTGATGCACATTACGTAAAAGGAGACTCTCAGCGCATTTTCATGACATTTCAGTGCTGGATCATTCATGTCGGAGCTGTTGTACACTCGTGAATGACGTTGTCAGGACTGCTACTGCGTCACGATGCAGAGAAAGTGTGCATGAGCCGGGACCCTGAGGCCCACTGTCTGTAAGCTGAGGGGGTGTAGGTCGTAGAGGAGAGCTCAGGGGTCAAAACACTGTGTGCGCAGTTCCGGGACCCCGATCGGACTATGCATCCCAAGCACAAACAAGCCTCTGTTCCTCCTCAAGCTCTCCTTTCATTCCCCCCAGCAAAGGGACTCTTACGCAGGGGTGCAGTGGCAAGGCACAGGGGGTGGGCAGAGGGTGACCTTCTGATTTTAAAGATATAGACAGGCATTCCTCTATTGTCAAAGGCCTCGTAACTCATCGGACTACACGCACAGGCCATCTCTGAAATTAATGACCCATGAGGTTTGTTAACGTTCAGGCACTTTCGGAATGGAGAGATGGAAGTGGAGTGCTGGGTGGCAGTCACACAGCTGCAGGGCACCACACTGACCCTGACACAGGAACTAGAGAGCGAAAGTCCGGCCTAGTTAAGGAAAGACGCACAAAAGATCTTTGTTTTCTAAGTTTAGT